ATCCTAAAACTCTCATGACCCTAGTCATAGTGTCGATATCTCCTTTTTGGAAGAAAATATGTAGGTATTGAAAATTCGGATACTTTGAGAGGGGATCATCGACATTGACAAATCCCATTGTTGGAATACTTCCAATTGTAGCGAAATCTCCTCTTTGCTCAGTTAAATACGTCGAATAACTACTTATGACATCTGTTTGGGTTAAAGCTTCTGCTGTGGATTCATTGATTCTAACAAAAAATGCAATCCCGGGATGATCCTCCAGATTCTTTCCCACCTGATGATTTCTGATCACTGGAATTCTCATTTCCTTGAGATGAGAAGCAGGTCCGATTCCTGATAACATGAGAATTTGCGGAGAAGCTATGGCTCCGGCACTTAAGATCACTTCCTTCCGTGCAAAAGCCTTTAGTTTTCTCTTTCCTCGGAGTACCATTGACACTCCTGAAACTGTTCCTTGCTTAGCAATCTCGAGTTTCGTGACATGCGCGTATTTAACGATGTGCAAATTGGGACGATTCATGGCAGGACGCAAAAAGGCTGTGGCTGTGCTTTCTCTTTGTCCTGATCGAACAGTTCCTTGTGAGATTGTGAAACCAATGTGTTCATTGGCGTTAATGTCTAAGATAAATTTGTATCCCAATTCTTGAGCTGCTTGAATAATTACGTTGTTGATTGTCAGATTGCTCCTGAAGAGTTCCACAGACATTAATCCGTCTTTAGAATGATAAAATCCTCCGAATGCGTCAGCGATTTCCGGATCTTGATTTGCCTCTGATTTCTTGAAATATTCCAAGACGTTTTCAAATTCCCATGTCGGATTTCCGAGTCTCTTCCAATTGTCGTAATCGTCCGCATTTGCCCTTATATAGAGCATTCCATTCATTGAACTCGTTCCTCCAAGCATTTTTCCCCTTTGCCATGCGCCTGTGTGAATATTAATATCTTTCAATGGTTCTGCATAGTATATCCAATCGTATTCTGTTCTTCCCATTCCTGATTGAAGTCCTGGCACCTTGGTGAAAAAAATTGTTGTTAATATCAGTTTACTTTGTTGTGTGCTTATTACAAAATATTCTTACTCCTGCTTCAATAGGCGGATCTCCTCCTGCCTCGAGGAGAAGGATTTTCCAATTTGGGTTCTCACTTAAGCGATTCGCGACGACTGCTCCTGCAGATCCTGAGCCAACAACGATAAAGTCGTACTGCTCGAAACCTGTGATAACAATTCCAATTAAAATATTGTCTTCACTGAACACAAATTTTTACCTTTATGCAAAGCAATTTCTCCGTAATCTCGTGGCCAAGTATCTGGCGCCGAGAGTGAACATTGCGACAATGCGAGGTAATTGATGAGGAGAGAAATAATTTGATTCGCAGGACCTGTGCTCAGATTCGGACACGTCAAAGGAAATTGATCCATAGTGTATCAATTTGTTCTTCTTCTCTAAACAGACACGGAAAATTTGAACATAACTTTTCAATGTTGTTCAAATTTATTCACTAACAATTTATCAAATCACAGCGATGTTTTCACTTACACAATCGATAGTTGACTGACTTCAGTCCGACAAAACTACACATTTTTATTAAAAAAGAACTCGAATATGGTTATTGTACAAAGAAGTCAGAAAATACTACGCATCGTTGCATTTCTTTTATTTGATTGTGTCCATTAGAAATTAGAAATTAGAACGGACGAGTATTATTGGCATGATTAGCACAGCAATATGAATAATCAAATGTAATTAAATGTGACATTATGCTGTATAGTTCAGGAATGAAAATTAGAATAAAATGTCTCGGAAATCTTTCAATTTCCACATATTCAGCAAACATTTCTTATACTGAAATCCATCTGAAGAACATTTGTCAAACTCTTCGTAAACATGCTTGTGTTTTGCTGCGCATTTATTATGCAATAGATTATACAGTAAAAAAATTACACATATTTCATTTAATTAATTTGTGTATAAAGACGATATAATTATGCATGTATTTCAAAAGTAATTTCACTGTCGCATCTGTGAAATCCAATGAATATAGAAAGCAATTAATTAGTAGCAATTCATTAGATATTCATTCAAAAGTGAACAATTACCAAAAAAAAATCTGAATCCAAAATTTCACTTTCAGTGGAAAATTTTCCAGTCTTGCTTGATAAAATCAGCTCCTTTTTCCCCGATCATAATTGTTGGCGCATTTGTATTTGCTCTCGGAATTCTTGGCATTACGCTTGCGTCAATTACTCTCAGGCCTTCAACGCCTTTGACTCTAAGTGTGTGGTCAACAACGGCGTCAGGATCAGAATCAGGACCCATTTTTGCTGTCCCCACGGGATGATAAAGAGTGGTAACAGTATAACGACAATAACATTCCCAATATTCGTCGCTGTTGAATTCTAGTTTATCGCATTCGCGAATAGGAATTGTTCTCAACGTCGCTTCATTAAATTGAAATGTTTTTGTTGAAAAAAATCTGAGATACAATCGAATAGCTTTTATGAAAGCTTGCAAATCCGAGGATTCGGCTAAATAATTGGGAATTATTCGAGGTTTTAATGCTGGACTGGGACTTCGCAGCAGAATTTCTCCTCTTGATTCTTGTGTTAAATGTGTTATCATTATTAAGAGAACGTTTGAAGTTTGAATTTCTTCCCTGCCAAAATCAATAACTTCGTCAACATATCCTAAGAGTTTGAAAAAACCAGCGATTCCGTTTACATCGCCTTTTCGGTAAAATACTTGATAATATTGAAAATTCGGATACTTTGAGAGAGGATCATCGACATTTACATATCCTATTGTTGAGAGAGTTCCGGTTGTTGCAAATTCTCCTCTACGTTCTGTTAAATATAAGGAGTAGCTCTTCATCAAGTCTTCTAAGTTTATTGTTGTGGCATTGGATTCATTAATTTTAACTAGAAGTATTAATACAGGATGATCCTGCAAATTCTTTCCGACTTGAAGATTTCTGATTGTTGGAATTCGCATATCGTTAAGATGATTAACAGGTCCGATTCCTGATAACATGAGAATTTGCGGGGAATTTATGGCTCCGGCACTTAAGATTACTTCCTTATTCGCATAAGCTTTAAGGTTTTTCTTTCCTCGAAGCTTCATTGACACTCCTGAAACTTTTCCTCGACTATCAAACTCCAATTTAGTGACGTGCGCGTATTTAACGATGTGCAAATTGGGACGATTCATGGCAGGACGCAAAAAGGCCGCGGCAGTACTTTCTCGGACTCCTGATCTGATGGTTCCTTGCGAGAATGTGAATCCGATGTGTTCATTTGCGTTAATGTCTAAGATGAATTTGTATCCCAATTCTTTGGCTGCTTGAATGATTGCGTTATTGATTGTCAGATTGCTCCTGAAGAGTTCCACAGACATTAATCCGTCTTTGGAATGAAAATAACCTCCGAAAGCGTCAGCGATTTCCGGATCTTGATTTACCTCTGATTTCTTGAAGTATTCCAAGACATTTTCAAATTCCCATGTCGGGTTTCCAAGCCTCTTCCAATTATCGTAATCATCAGCATTTCCTCTTACGTAATTCATTCCATTCATTGAACTCGTTCCTCCCAACATTTTACCTCTTGGCCACCATCCCGCTAATATACTATAGTTTGGTGAAGGTTCTATATAATAGCCCCAATCGGTATATTCATTAGCTACTGTTGCTTGGAATCCAGGTACCTGAAAAATAAAAATATTTTACTTAAATATTGCTCCTTACATCATTCCGTATTCCAATCTTACTGCAGCTTCAATAGGCGGATCTCCTCCTGCTTCGAGGAGAAGGATTTTCCAATTTGGGTTCTCACTTAAGCGATTCGCAACGACTGATCCTGCAGATCCTGCGCCAACAATGATAAAGTCGTACTGCTCGAAACCTGTGATAATAATTCGCACAGCATTATTGTCTTCATCACTGCATTTATGCACATAAATTATCACCTTTATGCAAAGCAATTTCGCCGTAATCTCGTGGCCAAGTTTCTGGCGCCGTGAGTGAACATTGCGACAATGCGAGGTAATTGATGAGAAGCGAAATAATTTGATTCGCAGGTCCTGTGCTCAGATTCGGACACGTCGAATGAAATTGATCAATTCTTGTCATTTTTCGCGATTTTTCAAAAATCAATTTTATTCCACTCTTGCACTATGATGTGAAATTACATCTGGTCAAAGATAGGAAATCCACTGAATTAGATTTAACTGCTTCAATTTAAGAGTTTTTTCGCTTACCTGAAATGGGGAGAATTTTTTAGGTTATGTTGCTCCGAAGGATTAACTTTCGATTCTCTCCCAACGATGACTGTGAGCTTCCTTCTGTGATAATGCGGTTCAACTGTGATAATTCTTCACCTTTTTACTGATAACAACTATTTAATTAGTAATTATGTGATATTTTTATGCTGCCTTTTCTCCGCGTGTCTTCAAATATATGTTGTTCCTTCTCCAAATGACGTTTTTTGCCTTTTGAAACCCTACACAGAATTATCCTTTCCTCTGTCGCATTGTCCGTGGACAGTTCCTTAACTGCACTCTTTTTTTATTTAAATATCTTTCACATACACTGATTGAGTTTATTAGTAACTGGAAGATGTTAAGTGTTCTGCGTTCGTGAAGTGACTAAAATTTGCCCTGAAATACTGCTCATTTTTATCGAGTAATCAATTGAGAAATCGCATAAATTTTTCGCTCTACTGCATGTTGAATTGTTCTTTGAAATAATGTGGAATCCATTAACCAAGATAGTAAAAACGATATATATCTAATGTTTGATGTGTATTTCGTGATATTGTTGTATTCATTAAAACGACGGAATTTGTATATAATTTTTTTAATTGAAACTTTATTTTCGTCACATTTTTTTTAATGCAAGGCTTTCCTGGAAATAAGACAAGATATTTTTCAACCTTCTAAGTTATATCGATATAAAAGCCAATTATGCGATAGATTTATTTCTGAATCAGCTCTTTTCATCTTCTTTCACTGTGGCAATGACCATTCTTGCTTTATGAAGTCACTCGCTTTTTCTGCGATCATGATTGTTGGGGCGTTTAGATTGCCTCTCGGAATCCTCGGCATTATGCTGGCATCCACTGTTCTGAGGCCAGTAGTGCCTTTCACACGCAATCTGGAATCAACCACAGCATCGGCATCTGAATCAGGACCCATCTTGCATGTTCCACAAGGATGATAAACTGTGGTGATCATGAAATGTGCGTAACATGCCCAATATTCGTCAGTATCAAATCCCAAAATATCGCATTGAGGAATAGGAATGATCAGCAATTCTGCTTCATTCGCTGTGAAAATTTCTGTCTTCAAGAATCTCAAATACAAACGAATGGCTTTGACAAAATCTACAGTGTCCAATTCATTTGACAAATAGTTGGCGAAAATGCGTGGTTTTTCCGCCGGTTCCGCACTGCGTAAGAGAATTTCTCCGATGGATCGCGGTGCTAAGTGAGCAACTGCAACAATCAGCATGTTTGCCTTCTCAATCTCCAGAGCGGCAGCTTGTGCCAGTTCATCAATATAACCGACTGTTCTGTATAAAGCTAGAATTTCCTCTGATTGTCCCCTTTGGAATGCTATGTGATAGTACTGAATATCTGGGTAAATTGCCAAAGGATCGTTCACATTGACGTATCCGAGGGTTTCCATTGATCCTGTAGTCGCAAAGTATCCCGTGTGCGTGGCCAAATACTGGAAGAAGGCCTGCATAATATCACTGGCAGCTACTGGTACGGCTGTGGACTTGTTGAGTTTAATGACAATTGGCACAATTGGGTGATCTTGTAGGTTTTGACCGACTTTTAAATTGCTGATAACAGGAAGTCCCATTTGCTGCAGATGTGGTGCCGGACCAATGCCAGAAAGCATGAGAATCTGTGGTGAATTAATCACTCCGGCACTTAAAATGACTTCTTTAATAGCGAAAGCCTCCATTTCTTGTCCTCGCAGATTCATTTGCACTCCAGTAACCACGCCATTGCTATCAATTATGACCCTATTGACGTGAGCGTGCTTGACAACGTGCAAATTTGGTCTGTTCATGGCTGGAAGAAGAAATGCCGTCGCGGCACTTTCACGCACACCAGACTTCACAGTTGCTTGTGAGAATGTGAATCCTATGTGCTTGTCTGCATTGAAGTCTGGGATGAATTCGAAACCCAGCTCTTGAGCTGCTTGAGTAACTAAATAGCTGGCTGGATCATTGCTTCCGAAGAGTTCCACAGACATTGGTCCGGTTGTTGAGTGATAATATCCACCAAAGGCATTAGCAATCTCCGGATTGTGATTCTGCTCGGATTTCTTAAAGTATTCCAAGACGTTTGCGAATCCCCACGTTGGATTTCCGAGTGCTTCCCAGTTATTGTAGTCATCTGGAACTCCTCTGACATAATACATGGCATTGAGTGAACTCGATCCACCCAACATCTTTCCTCTTGGCCAGAAGTCTCCTTTTGCCTGCAGCAGACTGTATGAATCCGAGCGTTCCACGTGATAATCCCAATCATATGGGGGTCTTTGCAGAGAAAAGAAGAGTCTGGGTATCTGCAAAGTTGAGAGTGTTATTGGAAAATAGCATTTCGGATGGCGCAAAAGCTTACGGCTGACTCAATTGGAGGATCTCCGCCTGCTTCCAAGAGGAGAACTTTCGTACTTCCATCTTCCGTGAGACGATTGGCGAGAACACATCCTGCTGATCCAGCGCCAACAATTATGAAGTCATAAGTGTCAAAGCCTGGAAAATATGAACGTGTTTAAGAGAGGATTTCATCAGTTAGTGTAGTTGCAGTACCTTTGCGTATAGCATAATCTCCATAATCAGCTGGCCACATTTCTGGCGGCGAGAGAGCACATTGCGAGATACTCAAGTAATTCATCAGGAGCGACAAATACGTATTGGCAGCTCCTGTGCTTAAACTTGCACATGGCGAAGTGAAGCAGTCCATTTTCCTTCGCTTATATACCTGAATGAATATACAAGAAAAAAATTATTCTCTATTTGAGTCGATATTTCTTTATCTATTCATATTAATGGATTACTATCCGGTTCCAATTTTGGCGATTTACATATCGCACGAGTTTATGCAAATGAAGATGGGGTGACAGACCGAAGCGTCTGGATCACGCAGGTTGTCAAACTGGTTTTAGCATTATTTTATCGTTATTGCAAAGATTTTTGTACAAAGAAATTTCTATGCTTAAAAAAATGAAATTTGACTAATAATTAGAAAATTGACAGAAACTGTCAGAAATAATGATTTATCTTATTAATATTCACTTTTTCCTTGGACTTTCTTATCGTAATTCGATAAGAAATGAATTTTAGAATATAAATCACGAGTTCAATAAGATTTCACCTGTTTTAATACGGATTGACAAAAGGATTATCACAAAAAACGAACAACGTCCAACTGAAGATTTGGCAAAAAGATGTTACTTCTCCGAAAGTCCGAATTGAACTGTGTTCCTGGGAAGAATTTGAAAATTGCCTAAATAAAAGAAAGAAGAACCCGCGACAAGTATGCAAATTTATTGATATTTCTTCTTATGTATCTTCTTCATCTGTACATTCATATATTTCTCTGAAACATTTGTGTGCTTTGAAATTTTCAGCACCTCAACTTGATCTTATAGATTTAGGTACATATATTAAATCAGAAATCCCAAATCATTCTTTATAAAGTCTGATCCTTTTTCTGCAATCATAATTGTTGGGGCATTTAGATTGCCTCTGGGAATCCTCGGCATTATGCTGGCATCAATAACTCTCAATCCTGTAGTGCCTTTCACACGCAATCTGTAATCAACCACAGAACCGGGATCTGAATCAGGACCCATTTTATTTGTTCCACAAGGATGAAAGACAGTGCTTATCATGTATCTAATATAACACGTCCAATATGCATCTGAATTGAAGCCTTGAGCATCGCATTCTGGAATTGGGATTGAAAATAATTCTGTTTCGTGCATTTTGTATGCTTCTGTGCCAAGGAATTTAAGATATAATCGAATAGCACGCAGAAAAGACTGAATATCTGACTCTTCTCTCAAATAGTTGGGATATATTTTGGGTTTTTGCATTGGATCTGCATTTCGTAAGAGTATTTCACCGCGAGAATTTTCATTGAGAAGTGCCACAGGCAATATTATAATGTTTGCATCATTTGATGCGCTTGCTGCTGTATTGATAACGACATCATTGTATCCTAGATTTTGTAGAAAACCCATTATATCCAGAGCTTGTCCTTTCTGGAAACCAATGTGATAGTATTGAATGTCAGGATATCTGGCAAACATATCTTGGCTATTGACGAATCCAATTGCTTCCACTGTTCCCGAATTTGCAAAGATTCCAGCATGTTGGGCTAAATATTGATAGTAACTTTGAACTAAATCGGCAACAGTCACGGCAACGGCAGTGGATTTGTCCATTTTTAGAAACAATGGAATATACGGATGATCCTGCAAGTTCTTCCCAACCTGGAGACTTTGAATGACTGGAATTTTCATTTCTTGAAGATGAGAAGCAGGTCCGATTCCTGATAACATGAGAATTTGTGGAGAATTTATTGCTCCGGCACTTAAAATCACTTCCTTCTTCGCAAAAGCCTTAAATTCAGTTTGTCCTCGAAGCTTCATTGACACTCCTGAAACCGTTCCTTGACTATCAATCTCGAGTTTCGTGACGTGCGCGTGCTTGACGATGTGTAAATTGGGACGATTCATGGCTGGAATTAGGAAAGCAGAAGCTGCACTGTTTCTTAATCCTGATTTGAGTGTTCCTTGAGCTAATGTGAAGCCAACATGTTTTTTTGCATTCATATCTAGAAGAAATTTATATCCCAACTCTTCAGCAGCCGCTATAATATCTTGGCTAAGTGGATTGGAACTATTGAAGAATTCCACGGACAAAAGACCATCCTTTGAATGGTAATATCCTTCAAAATTTCGATTCGCTTCCGACTTCTTGAAGTATGGCAAAACATCTTTCCATCCCCAAGTCGGATTTCCGAGTCTTTCCCAATTGTTGTAATCATCCTCATTTCCTCTGGAATAAACTAAGGAATTCATTGCACTCGATCCTCCCAACACTTTTCCTCTCGCCCAGTAACTTCCTTTTGGGCTGTATTGACTGACTGTGTCCGATATTTCCGCGTAATATTGCCAATCATACTTTGTCTTGAAGAATGAAAACGCCAATCGTGGAATCTGTTGGTGTGAAAAACAGTGAAATACTTCAATAATCTGATATTCACTGATCTTAGTTACCATTGATTCGATCGGAGGATCTCCTCCTGCTTCCAAAAGGAGAATTTTCCATTGTGGATTTTCACTGAGACGATTAGCAAGAACACAACCAGCAGATCCGGCGCCCACAATAATGAAGTCATATTCATTATCGAAGCCTGCAAAGCATTTTTATGTTTCATACAAGTTTTGCAATTGAATTTATCGAGAACGAAACCTTTTCTCATCACAACATCGCCATAATCTCTTGGCCACATTTCAGGACTTGACAATGAACAGTGTGAAATGGTCAAGAAATTAAGCAAAAGCGAGAGATATGTATTGACAGTTCCTGCACTTGCATTTGTACACGTTGAAGACAAGCACTCCATATCGATATTTTGCGTATATTTTACACGAGATTTAATCTGTAATTGCTGAACAGAATTTTCTTAGATTCAATCTTGTCACTCTTTGTAAATAAACAAGTCAAAAAACTTCCGTGGAATTTTTTGCACATCGTCATAACCGTCTGGGTTTGTCTATTTTGACGCGCAACTATTTTGTGTATTTGTGTTTTACTATCACGCTATTTTGCATGGTAGAAAACCAAAAGAGTGTGGAAAACTTGGCCATTGACTCACTTTTTTTTACACGATCAATCGCTGTGCGGATAATTTCGAAGCCACTGAGAACAAATATATTTTTGCAAGAAGATGTTGATCGTCCAGTGTCTTAAAGACAACTGCATCGTTCCTTTTGCATTCGTGTTTCTGAAACAGGTTCATCAAATTAAATAACCAAAATGTTTACAGAAAAAAAAACTCGTTGAACAAATTTGTTGTGAAAAATTGTATTCTTTATGCTTGTAAATTGTCCCCAAAACGTGAGAGAATTTTTTTGTTGTGCTCATAGAATTGACATGCTTTGCGTGACAAGCACAAAATACTTTCGGTAATTCATTGCACTTTATGGAGGTGGCGAAAATATGGGGTTTTTTGCGAGCATCATCAAAAATGTAGTTCAAGCGCGGTGGAATTCTATTAAATTCCGTGTCAGTGTCTTGTGTGTTGTTGGCAAATGACGAGTGAAGTGTGAAAAATGGTGACATTGTCGGGTTTATTCACCGCTGCTCGAATTATTGTTACCTATGGTCCAGGATTTGCGCTTCTGTTTCTGCTCAATCGAGCCATTGAGATTGAGCGCCATGACATTGTCGATCGCCAGCATCGAGTGCGTGATCGATCGGCGGACGCGGCGTATGATTTTGTTGTGATTGGCGGCGGATCGGCGGGAGCTGCTGTGGCGGCGCGATTGAGTGAAGTGCACAAATGGAGTGTTCTTCTCCTTGAGGCAGGACCCGATGAGACCTTCATATCAGATGTTCCTCAGCTGTTTCCCACGCTGCAGCAGAGTGAATTGGATTGGAAGTTTGTCACGCAGCCCACAAATCACTTCTGTCTGATGAATGACAATGGACAGTGTCTGTGGCCACGCGGAAAGGTCCTTGGCGGATCGAGTGTGCTCAATGCGATGCTCTATGTGCGCGGAAATCGCAAGGATTACGATCACTGGGAGCATCTGGGCAATCCAGGATGGGGATATAACAGTGTTTTGCACTACTTCAAGAAGTCCGAAGGCACGCGTGAGCCACACTTTGCTCACAGTCATTTTCACGGCGTTCGAGGACCTCTCACAGTTGAGTACTTCCGATTTGTCTCGCCTCTCATGGAACTCTTTATGGCCGCGGCGGAGGAATTGGGACTCCTGAATCCGCATGGAGATTACAATGCTGAGTCACAGCATGGATTCGCGAGATCTCAAGGGACTTTGAGGTGTGATAAATGAGAATTTACAGCCATCAATAGCTGTAATATTAATGGTATTTGTGCTTTCAGGGATGGCTTGAGATGCAGCACCGCTAAAGCTTATCTCAGACAAGCGTCGCATCGTCCTAATCTTCATGTTTCTCTTCACTCTCATGTCCAGAAGATCCTTATTGATGAGCACCGCAAAGTGGCTTATGGAGTGGTTTTTAAGAAGCACGATTGGCCATCTAGAGTTGTGTATGCAAGGAAGGAAGTGATTCTGTGTGCTGGAGCTATTCAAAGTCCTCAATTGCTGATGCTCTCCGGAATTGGGCCGGCGCATGAGTTGCAGAAGCACGGAATCCCTGTGATCTATCACTCTCCGGGAGTTGGAGAGAATCTGCAAGATCACGTGGCGATGGGCGGAGGATCATATTTGATACAGAATCCCATTTCAAAGGACACTTTGAGCTTTGTCATCCCTAAGCTGATCAACGTTGAGGCGATCAGGGAGTTTGTCTATGATCACAATGGACCACTTTATGCCATGCCGGCGTGCGAAGTGATGGCCTTCATCAACTCCAAATATCAGGATCCTCACGAAGATTGGCCGGACATTCAGCTGTTCATGGCTGCTTATTCGGATAACTCCGATGGAGGGATTTATAGCAAGAGAGGGAGTGGAATGTCACACGATTACTATTCCCAGATATATGAGAATATTCTCTATAAAGACACCTTTATGGTTGTGCCACTGCTCATGAGGCCAAAAAGCCGTGGCAGAATTGTGCTGAAGAGCAAGGATCCTCATGAATATCCATTGATTTATCCCAATTACTTTGATCATCCTCATGATCTCAATGTTTTGGTGAGAAAAGCACATTATTTGTTTGGTCTTAATATCACAAAAGTGTCTTTCTTTTCAGATTGAGGGTGCAAAGTTTGGATATTATCACTTTTCTCGAACGAAAATGATGAAAATGTTAAATGCAACGCTAAATTCATTCATCATTCCTGGTTGTTCGCATTATTCTTACCTCAGCGATGACTATTGGAAGTGCATGGCGCGTCATTACACCCAAACAATCTACCATCCGGTGGGAACGTGCAAAATGGGCCCCAAATATGATAAATGGGCAGTTGTGGATGCGAGGCTCAGAGTGTATGGAATTAAGGGACTTCGTGTTGTGGATGCGAGCATAATGCCAACAATTCCCACCGGAAACACCAATGCGCCTGCAATTATGGTGGGAGAGAAAGCGAGTGATATGATAAAGGAGGATCATTTAGAATACTACTGAGATATCTGTAGAGTTTCTCATTAAAAACACTTTTCTATTTTATAATCAATTTTATTATCCTTACATATATTTATTTTCTACAATAGGTTTTGTCATTGCCTCAGTGGCAATATTTTTCATAATTTGTCTTCAGTGTCAGTGACAAAAATACCACATTCTGCTTAAATAGTGCTCTTCTCAGTCAGCCTTTGTTGAAGTATTACACAAGAAAAAAAAACCCTCTTTCTCTCTTCACTTTGAAGTCGTATTTCAGCCACAGAATTTATACAAGAATGGCGCATTTCTCTTGTAGCTTGATATCACAATTCACACAGCGTCTCAAACGGAAGCTCTTCGCGCGCTACAACATTTGGCTACGTTTTATCCAGAAGTCCTTCACCATGTCGGCGCCCTTTTCAGCAATCATGATCGTTGGGGCATTCGTATTGGCACTCACAAGTTTTGGCATGATGCTGGCGTCAATCACCCTCAAGCCGCGGATGCCGTAGACGCGCAGCTGCGGATCCACCACTGCCGTCCTGTCCCAGTACGGGCCCATCTTGCACGTGCCCACAGGGTGGTAGATGGTCACGGAGTAGTGCCTGATCATGCACTCCCAATACGCGTCTGTGAACATCTTGATGTGCAGACATCCGGGGAAGTTGAACGCGGCCAATTGAGAGCCAAATCTCTGCATGGATTGCGTTCGTGACAGTGCCACGGCAATTTTCACACCCTCCACGAGGGTTTTCATGTCGAAATCGTCCTTGAAGTAGTTGGGATAGATGTAGGGATAGTCGAAGGGATTGTTGCTCCTCAGCTTGATTGTTCCCACACTCTTGGGCCGCAACAGCATGGGAATAATGCTCCAAGAGTCCTTATTATTGATCGGCCCGAAGACATAATCATAGAAAGCTTCAGTTAAGCCATGAGCTTTTCGCAACTGAACTCCGCCATCTGAGTTTGTTGATCCGGAAACAAAGTGAAACTCAATATCCGGATAATCGTCTGTTGCATTGGCGTGTTTGGTGTTGACGAACGCGAGTCCTTCAACGCCTCCTAGGATCGTAAGAGGTCCTTGGCCAAACACTGCGTATTGCAGAACTGTTGACATGGAGTGGAGACGATTCTCTATAATAGCCACAGGTTGATTGACCAGGAAAGTCAATCCACCCAAACCTATGTGATCCTGCAGATTCTCGCCCACTTGAAGGTCCTGAATGACAGGAATTCGATGCTTCTGCAGTTCAGCCTTCGGTCCAATGCCGGACAGCATGAGAACTTGGGGAGAATTCACGGCTCCTGCTGAGAGGATGACTTCCTTCAGCGCTCTGACGTAGTGAACTTTCCTGTTTCTGATGAATTCCACCCCAAAGGCGATCTTGCTCACCGGATCGATCATCACTCTGGTCACGTGAGAATACATAGCGACGTGGAGATTTGGCCGGAGACGCGCCGGTCTCAGGAAGGCTTTCCCAGTGCTGCATCGACTTCCTCGCCTCGTTGTGCCCTGGGCTATCATAAATCCTGTCTGCTTCTCTCCATTTATGTCCCTATTGTCGTATCCCATCTCGACTCCGGCCTCCACGAAAGCGGCAGCCAAAGGCGTGTGATAAGGAGCTTCGCCCACGGTTAAGTAGCCGCCAGTTGAGTGATAAGGTGTGTTTGTCAAGTAGGGATTTGTGTTGTCTTCGGACTTCTTGAAATAGTACAGGGCATCCTTGTAGCCCCAGCCAGGATTCCCTAGTGTCTCCCAGGCGTCGTAGTCCTTCTTATTGCCACGCAAGTAGAGCATGTAATTGAGCACACTCGATCCACCGATGACTTTCCCTCGTGGCCAATTGCATCTTCCGCCCTGCATTGCTGTGGAAATGAGAAGGAGTTTAACACTGATTCTCGGGAAGTTATTGGATTTCTTACCTAAGCAGGAAGTTCCTTGAGGTTCTGTCTTGTATTTCCAATCCAATTTGCTTAGCTGCAAATATCCCGCCATCAGCGGCACATCAGAGATCTCCGTCTCGTCTCCGCCAGCCTCGAGAAGCAATACATTCCAGTTCTCCACCTCAGTCAGTCGGTTGGCTATTACAGCTCCTGTAAAATCGATGGAGAAAGGATTAGAATTGAATATTTTGGCAATAGTTTGAAGAACTCACCCGCCGATCCCGCTCCTATTACTATGAAATCGTACTCATCCAGCATGTTGGACGTCGAGATATCGATGGGTCTCGACTCGGGATCCATGAGATCTTCATACTGGAAGTAGGCAATAGCGGCGACCAGCACCGGCACGAACCATCCGACACTGCTGGCGGCCGAAACGGCGGCTCCACCTATTGCATTGGCGGCTCCAACAATCGCACTCATCGCAAGTGCTTCTCACGCGATCTTCCTGCCGAAGAAATCATCGTTGTCAATGAGTAATCAATCAATGGGTGATGAAGTGTGGTAATTGGTCTGGCCGAAGTGAAAATTATGTGGAATTTGTCTGTCCCATTCTGTCATTGTACAGCGTCGACGCCAATGTGTGCTTTACGAGGAAATTTACACAATTGTGTGTTTGGTGAAATTCATATATTGCGGCGAGAGAAATAAAAAGAAAGGTCGATATGAAAGAGAGTGAGATAAAAAGTGTGTCTATTGAGAAATGTTTGGCGAAAAAGGTGAAGGAGAACACCTCAAAATTTCACTCTTTGAAGGTTTTGCGCGCACCTTCGCGCTGTCAAGTTTACTTTCATCGCGCCATGTGGCTGATTTTGCAGCGCAATGCAAGTCTTAATGTCTGAGTTGTGATTTTGAGCGGGAAAACTACACACTGTGCACTAAATGGCACTGTTTAGAGCTCCTATAATACATCAATTATCATCACCTGCAGACTTGCATCTTGGCTGCCGATGAGACTCTCTAAATGCACATTTTAATTGAGATTGCACGCATGATCGTTGCAACTCCTTTGAAACTCTTGATGCGCGCGCGCGTGCGTCTTGATCAATTACTCAAAGTGAAAATAAAATAACTTTCAATTGTGACTTATTTCCATTACTACATTAAGCTTATAGTTGAGGCGAACTTTTACATTCATAACAAATTACCGGACTTTGTCTATATATCGATCGGTGTTTGCCGGGAGGAAGAAGAAAAAAAAAACATCTTGCGCTGTTCAAGATCAAGAGCAATGTGCCGATGAATCGCCAAAAGCAAGATTAATCTCACGGGCTGTGAATAGTGAAAATAACAGTATTTCGCACAGAATGCTTCTCTCCAGCAGCGAAATGGCTCAATGAGTTGTAAATTTAGTGAATTTAGTGGTTGGCGAGTAAATAAATTGCACGTGAAAGAATTGATGATTGTGCTTGAGAAGTGTATAACGGGCTTTGAAATGCCGGAGAACTGTGCCATTTTCCTTCCAGCCGTTCTCTTTTTCCACCACACCTTCAATCATTGGAATGATGTGTGACACAATTTTGCCTTGCATGGCATAAAGTGTGTGTATCTCTGAACCACTTTTCTCCTTCTTCTCGTGCATCAATTTCAATGAGGTTGGACTCTTGCTTGTTTTGTGACATCAGCATAAACTTACATTACCAGTGATTCAAGGCATGCACGGCTTTGTCTACATTTTCTCCCATATAAATTGTAGACATTATTAGAACTTATTATTATGCTGTGACAAATGTTCTAGTTTTCATGCAAAAGAGCATGAAATTAATCGAGAGAAGAGTTAGTGGAAAACTGTCACTTTCGTTGCCGGAGAAATTATTTCAATCCATCGAGGCGATAAATGTAAAGTAGTTCATCATGCACTCAATTTTTAATAACCACTATCTTCTATGTAAATGAATAGCTTAAGCTTTTCAATCTCTTTTACAGAATAATTACATACCATCAATATTTCTAGTCATAAAAGAAGAACTGAGAATAATTTCTGTCAATAAATCACGCTTTTCACTTTTTTTCTAACAAAAACTCTCAACAATCATAAGAATGTAACACTTTCTTGGGCTAAAATATTTCTTTGAAATTCTCCACAGTCAGTCAGGAACAACAAAATCAAATCATATTTTAAACTTAATTACAAACGATGGTTTGTCCCTACTTTACGCTCATTGACACCTCTTTTCGTGTAGAAAAAAAAAACCTACACGAAAGGCAAGAAAATTAGTCAGCAGTTCCTCATTCATTTTGTTTATATTTTTCAGTCAATAAACACAGAAAAGGGCAATTTACACCATTCAGTGGAAGCTTATGCCATTTGTTGAGCATTATATAATTCCTGGTGAAGAACTCAAACGAGGGTAAAATTGATATTTTTTCACGGTCTGCAATATTAAGTATGAAAAGAAGCTCATAAATTTCACATAATTTCTTCCCATTTTAAAATGAGTTATTGATTGCTTATAAGCACTGAATTTCTCAGCGAGGAAATGCAGAAAAGTGTAGTGCAAATTTGCAACTACAAAATGCTTAAATTATTTTCCGTGTTGAAGGCAAATGAATTTTTCATGAACCACAAGTTCAGTGAAAATGTTTTAAATCTTTAAAAGCATACATTGAATTTACTTTAAGAGAATAGGTCACAGTCTTGGTCACAGTGCTGCTGAGAGAGGATTTTATTGGCAATTTCTTTTTAGTGAGTGAATTTTTATGCATGACTTCGTCACATCGACTTTACATTCATGCAAAAAACCCACCAAGAAACTCTACTATGATGTCACATAATTTAACATTCTCAATGTGTAGTTAAAGTGTAAATCATTTAATGAATTTAATTAAATTTCTCTCCACCAAACACACACACACACACAAACACTGGATGATGTTTCCAAATAGAATGCCGAAGAATGTGCAAAGTATCTCTCCTTCTTCTTTATATATGTTACAAACTAGAAAAGGGTCCTTTTTTCTTTGCTAAACGATTGGCAATTGAGCAGATGAAATTGGCCATTCATGGGAGCAAAAGAGTTTTGTGTGTATATCGACGAAAGTCTCGCACTCACAGTGATGATTTCGATTACAAGCTTGAATGATGAGTTGTACGATGAGTTTCTGTGCAATGTTGTGGCAATTTCGTTACTCTGACTGAGCAGACATTTTAACCGCCAATTCCAACTATTGGTGCAGATGCAAAGTATAATAATCCCGATGTGGAGTGAATGTTATCTCGTCTCCGAAAAAGTTTCTCTGGACGACGAGAGCGTGTGGAATTCTATATGAGAGACACTTTGGTACAAAATAACACCCACAAGAGCACTTGAAGGAAAGCTCAAGACGGTGGCTTTACAATAAAAGCTGACTCAATTTGTATTCTCTTGGCAAAATGACACAGTAATCCCGTCAGCACTGTCCAATAAAACCATGCAACTTTCTCGCGAAACACCTCTTTGACTGTGCTTCCTTTGCGTCTTCGTCGACTAACAGTTCTTCAGCAACTGAAGAAGCCACCAGCGATCGCGGATCGAGTCATTGGACGCGATGTTTCTTGTGGGGATTCCATTTGAGCGCGCGCGCGCGTGTGTTTGTGCATTTTGAAGGGGAGACAGAGAAAAGAGTGTTGAGAGAGAAAGATTTTCTTCCAACGCACACGTAGGCTTGTTGCGGCAACTTGATCACCTACATCTGATGATGGTCTTGTGGGGAAGACGGGCGGAGCTGTGGCGGGCGCGCAGAGACGGCGGCAGAGATGATGAAATATACACGGCATTTCACCTGACTTCTTCTTGCTCCACTGTTGATGATCACACACCAGCGACAATGATGGGGTTACCAAATGAAGATCAAGTTCACGATCACAACGCGCGCAACAGCATCAGAGTGGAAAGAAGAGTGACGCGCATGATGATGTCTCTTGGGCCATCAGCATTTTTAGGAGATCAGCTGTGAAACGGGATTGGAGAGGAAGAGAGCGCGCGCGTTCGCGATCAATGGGAATTTTATTGAGTCACTCAAGTGTGCATCTTTCACTATGTTGCCGTCTGTTCTTCTTTCCCACACACCTTTCCATTGCCACTCGATCACTCCTGAGACTCTCGATTAATCTCTTGCACATGATATTCATCACGTAGTCACTGAGAGAGACCGACGAAAGAGATCGAATAAGGAATGCTTAAAGATTTTCTTTGATGCGATCAGACTTGGAGTGTTTTAATGAAAGTTTCTTTGAAATAACATCAAAGTCTCAGATTAAGACGGTAAATTCGATTGTATGCAGCCGAAATGGTATCATTTCTTACACATTCTCAGTAATAATAATTGCTACTTGTTGAATTCCGGTTCAAAAAATGCATTAAACTCTGTTGGAAGTGACTTGAATTTAGTATATTATTTAGTGGCACGCAAAAAGCGCGTAAATTTGTAAATGCACACTTGGCTAATGGCGGCGGCTTTTCTCCTATCCTTGCAGGCGGATGTTGCGGCTCGACGCGCAAGAGGACGATCGTGGGAGGATGGGCCTGGGCCTGGTGGCTCGTGACGGACGTGCAGCGCCTGTCGCTGGAGGTCATGACGCTGAATCCGATGTGCGAGGGCGTGGAGACGGCTCAGGGTGTCCCACTCACAGTTACAGGTGTTGCACAGTGCAAGATCATGAAGGTATGCCGCCTGTCTAATGGCTCTTGACACAGGCAACGTTTCCCAGAAGATCTCCCTTAATTTTCCCTAATTTCTCTGACATTTTGTATTATATAATTTTCTTTTTCCTTTACTCAGGACTTTAGCATGTTGTCCGCCCTGCAAATTTGCCCCAATAATTCATTCCTTTTTGGAACATAATATGAAAATATGAACCATTCTTTCTTTCCTCATTAGGTATTTTTATATGCATTTGAATTGACAGAGTGTTTTCCAGATGTTGAAGCTGATGACCATTTAGAACTTAATGCGTGTAGATGTTATTTTGCTGTTTTTATAGGTGATCAAATAGTGATTATGATCTTGTAAATTGCGCTTCAGGGACAATCATCGAGAATTATGAGGCTGTTTTTTCCCCTCCATTTTTTAATTGCTCCGCTGTTTCCTTTTCTCATAATAGTGTTTATCTTCTTAAATGTAGATAAGAAAAACAATTTCCTCACTAACAACCATAATAGTTATTGACTTTCTCCCAATTTTTAATAGCTTTTACAAAGACACACGTTTATATAGACATTTTTTTAAAGATCGTACAGGCATCGTAAGTTTTTTCTTTCTATCAATAAAATCAATCTTATTAGCATTTTTACTTGTGAAAGCACTTTTTTGCAATTTGTAAATGTATTTCTCATGCACTCTAAAATGCACTTTATACATTTGATTGACAATATATTTTCACAATTGAGAAACTTATTGCTAAATCTCTGCCTACGATTTGAACTTATTGATTGCAATATTTT